TAAAAGAGAAGAGCAATGATGATGGAGTAACCATATGATGACGGTGAACCCGAACAAGGAATGTCTTTGGCAAGCCATCGGGGCTGGTCGCAATTTTGGCTCAAGGTTCCAAGGGGCCGTCGCCGGCCTCCCAGGGCTCGCCTCGGGCGTCTCTCATTCCTCTCAGGTCCGCACATCTGCAGACGGCATGATGCGCCTGCGCACGTCTCACAGCGTCGGCGCGCTGCTCCTGCTGCTGGCAGCGCGCGGCGCCCCGAGCGCCGGGTCGCCGGCGAGCGGGACGCTGGCCCGCCCGAGGTTGGAGGGCTCGGCGAACGGTCGCCCTCGCGAGCCGCAGGCCGAGTTCGGGAGGCGCCTGTCTACCAGCGACGCGCAGTTGCTCAAGCTCTTGGCGGGTGATGGGGTCAAGAACGACAGGTTCGGAATCTCGGTGGCCGTGAGCTCCGACGGGTCCCGCGTGGTGGTGGGGGCCGTTTACTACTACTACTACTACTACTACTACTACTACTACTACTACTACTACTACTACTACTACTACTACTACTACTACTACTACTACTACTACTACTACTACTACTACTACTACTACGATGAGGAGGCCAATACGTTTGGCTCCGCGTGCGTGCTCGACGGTACCACCGGCGAGAGGCTGCTCAAGCTTGTGGCGAGTGATGGGCCCTTAGGCGACAGATTCGGAATCTCGGTGGCCGTGAGCTCCGACGGGGCCCGCGTGGTGGTGGGAAACGACAAGGACGTGCTCGACTCCGGCTCCGTGCACGTGGTCGACGGGGCCACCGGCGAGAGGCTGCTGAAGCTTGTGGCGAGTGATGGGGCCGCAGGCGACAGATTCGGTTACTCGGTGGCCGTGAGCTCCGACGGGGCCCGCGTGGTGGTGGGGGCCTACTATGACGACGACCAGGGCACCAATTCAGGCTCCGCGTACGTGCTCGACGGTACCACCGGCGCGAGGCTGCTGAAGCTTGCGGCGAGTGATGGGGCTGCAGGCGACAGATTCGGTTACTCTGTGGCCGTGAGCTCCGACGGGGCCCGCGTGGTGGCGGGGGCCTACCAAGACGACGACCAGGGCTCCACTTCCGGCTCCGTGTACGTGCTCGACGGGGCCACCGGCGAGAGGCTGTTGAAGCTTGTGGCGAGTGATGGGGCTGCTTCCGACCTGTTCGGTTACTCGGTGGCCGTGAGCTCCGACGGGGCCCGCGTGGTGGTGGGGAGCAAATATGACGACGACCAGGGCTCCGGTTCCTGCTCCGCGTACGTGCTCGACGGTACCACCGGCGAGAGGCTGCTGAAGCTTGTGGCGAGTGATGGGGCTGCAGGCGACAGATTCGGTTACTCGGTGGCCGTGAGCTCCGACGGGGCCCGCGTGGTGGTGGGGGCCTACTATGACGACGACTAGGGCACCAATTCAGGCTCCGCGTACGTGTTCGACTTCACCGAGGCAACAACTGAGACGACCACCGCGACGACCACCAAGACGGCCACGACGACCACCGATACGGGCACGAGTTCCGCGACGTCAAGCACTACTACCATCATCAAGACAACCACCGAGACAACAACTGAGACGACCACCGCGACGACCACCAAGACGGCCACGACGACCACCGATACGGGCACGAGTTCGGACACGTCAAACACCACAGCCACCACCGAGCCATGGGGATTAATTGCAGTCTTCGCTGGTGTCTTGATCTTCTTCTTGTTGATCTTGTTCTTGGTCTGCGGCGTCGCGCTGGGCTGCCTGGAGGGGCTCGAATGTCCTGGCCGTGGCAGGGGCCCAACACCCCAGCGCGGCATTCACAACGCGGAGGTTGAGGTCAACTAGTCGGAGCAGGACGCGGAGATCGATGAGCACGAGTCGGCGCACCGTGTTTAGCACGACGCGGAGCCTGTATCATCAGGCTACTCTGCAGAGCGACACTACGCCAACTCACCTTTGGCTTCGAGAAGCCACGTTTTTTCTCAACCATCCAAGCGCTCTCACATGGCCCCAACGTGCCTGCGACAGGGCGGCGGAGTTTCATTGTTGGCGTTCGAATGCTCTTGGTCGGCGCCTCAGTATGTGTGCCGCTCGCGCCAAGGCGCGTCAGGCTGCAATGCTGGCTTGCAGGTGGTCCGCCTGCGGCCAGCCAAGTGAATTTGATGCATTTCTTCACTTCCAAGAGCTGGTCTCTCCACCTTGCGCGCACATCCTTGGGCAATCGACCAGATAAGTGCGCGCCAGGCTGATGCGTCTCCGTCGGAAAATATCAATGTCATGTCCTGTTGTTCACTCTTTTCACTCCAGGGGCAGCGAGGAATTTCGCTACGCTTTGTGTGCGCACCCTTGGATTACTTACCAGGCCGGTATGCGCCAAGCGATGCGTCTCTACCAGTGTATATCTACCTATACGACCATCCTGCGGGTGATGAGGAAGTTGGGGGGGGGCAGCAATGGGGAACAGTGGTGATTGTTGTTCTGACGATGCCTGTGGGGCGGAGTCTAGTGAGTAGTGTGATTGTGCACGTGAGCGTGATGTGATGTGGCGATGTTGGCGAAGCGCACTCGACATTGTCGTGAAGCGCTGTCCCAGGAGGATTTCGAGACACCAGCGGGACACTGGCGGGACACCGCGGGCCACCGGCCGCCGGAGGAGAAACATTTGGTCCGGCCGCGGCCCAGCCACAGGAGGATTTCGGGACACCAGCGGGACACCGCGGGCCACCGGCCGCCGAAGGAGAAACATTTGGTCCGGCCGCGGCCCAGCCAGGAGGATTTCCTCTCGCGCCCACGCAGCTTCGCCTCGCCCGCACGCACGGCACGCACAACACGAACCCGGAACCGAAATCGATTTCTTGGTAGGGGGGGTCTCCGTTTCACTTCGCACTCACCCCCAACCATGTATATATATATATATATATACATACATACATACATACATACATACATGCATGCATACATACATACATACATACATACCGACTGGGCTACAGGGCCGGGGGCTCCCTGGCCGGGACCGCAACCCCCCATGGCGGGATCGGGCCTCCAGGAGCGCCCTTGTCCGGCCCAAGAGGCGCCGAAGACGGTCCAAGCGTGCCTCGAGACGCTTACGATCGATCCAAGACGCCCAAGATGGCTCCCAGACGGCCCAAGAGGCCTCCAAGATGTCCCAAGAGAGCCCCAAGAGCATTCCCAAGAGGGCTGCAAGAGGCCGAAATCATTGATTTCCGTTGTTTTTGTTGCAGGTGTTTGGTTTTCTTGTTTTTTCGTCGTCCCGACCCTCCAAGACAGCCCACGAAGTCCCCAAGACCGTCCCAAGATCCCCCAAAAGCATTCCCAAGAGGGCTGCAAGAGGCCGAAATCATTGAATTCTGTTGGTTTTTGTTGCAGGTGTTTGGTTTTCTTGTTTTTTCGTCGTCCCGACCCTCCAAGACAGCCCACGAAGTCCCCAAGACCGTCCCAAGATCGCCCAAGAGGCCCCCAAGAGCGCCCCCAAGACGGCCCAAGAGGGCTTAAAAACAACCGAACAGGCGCCTAAGACCGCCCAAGAGTTTGCAACACGGCCCACGAGGCGTCGAAGACGGTCAAAGCGTGCCTCGACGCGCCTAAGACCGCTCCAAGACGCCCAAGATGGCTCCCAGATGGCCCAAGAGGCCTCCAACATGTCTCAAGAGAGCCCCAAGAGCATTCCCAACAGGGCTGCAAGAGGCCGAAATCATTGAATTCCGTTGTTTTTTTGCAGGTGTTTGGTTTTCTTGTTTTTTCGTCGTCCCGACCCTCCAAGACAGCCCACGAAGTCCCCAAGACCGTCCCAAGATCGCCCAAGAGGCCCCCAATAGCGCTCCAAGACGGCCCAAGAGGGCTTAAAAACAACCCAATCGGCGCCTGAGACCGCCCAAGAGCTTGCAAACACGGCCCAAGAGGCGTCGAAGACGGTCAAGGCGTGCTTCGACGCGCCTAAGACCGCTCCAAGACGCCCAAGATGGTTCCCGGATGGCCCAAGTTGCGGCCAAGACGTCCCAAGACAACCCCAAGAGCATTCCCAAGAGGGACCCAAACAGCCAAAATCATAGCTTCCCTTCAGGCTTTTAAAGGTTTTTGGCTTTCTCATTTTTTCGTCGCTCCGACGCTCCAAGACGGCCCAAGAGGCCCCCAAGACCGTCCCAAGCTGGTCCAACAGGCTCCCAAGAGAGCCCCAAGACGGCCCAAGAAGCCCCAACGACGGCCCAGTAGCAACCAAGACAGCCCAAGAGGCTCCAAACATTGCCCCAAGACGCGCCCATGTCGGTCCAAGCGTGTCTCGAGACGCCTAAGACCACACCGAGACGCCCACGATCGTTCCCCTTTTCCTCCCCCTCCTTCCTTCCTCTCTCGTCCTCCCTCCCCTCGTCCTCCTCTCCTCTCTCCCCTCTTCCCTCCTTCCCCCTCTCCTCCATCGGACCTTCGCCCCTGCGTGTCCGCCCCGCCCTTCCTCCCGTCGCCGCTTCTCCTCCCCTTCCCCTTCGCCCGCTCGCTCGCTCGGTCGTCTCTCCTTCGCTGCCGGCTCTTGGCTCTCCTCCTGCTCGTCGTCTTCTTCCCTCCCGAGGCCACCCGCTACGAAAAAACGCACCGGGTCGCAATTGTTGTTGTTTTGTGTTGCGTCGATTTTCGCCAGTGGCCGACGTGCCGAAGAGGATGATGAGAAACGCGAAGATACGAATGACCAGGACGAAATCCAAAACGGAAAGCCAGGAGGAGGAAAGACAGGGACCGACACACGAGCGAAGATGAGCAAAATGACAATACGGAAACAGACAGTATTCAGACGACTTTTGACAGGATTTGGCCGTGACCTCAACTAGAACGCGCGCGAAGCGCGCGCGATGGTATATATACACACACGTGTAGATATACATTTCCCCGCGCACGAGGCCCGGGCGCCTGGGGCCCGCGCCTCGAGCGCGCATGGCAGGACCAGGGCCCCTGGAGGCGCTCCGACACGGCATCCAAGGGCACCAGGAAGCTTCCAAACGGCTCAAGAGGCCCAGAGACCCCGATCGCTCCAAGACGCCGAAGATGGTCGCACGACGGCTCCAGAAAACTTCCAAGACGGCCCAGCAGGCCTCCAAGAGAAATCCCACGAGGGCTTCAAAACGCAAAAATGGCCCCGCTCCCTTGGGAAAGCGTGCATTTTTCGGGCATCCGCACCTTGGACTTTCACAGCGCCCACGGCGGTCCGAGAGGCTCCCAAAATCGCCCCAAGACGGCCCGAGAAGGCCCCAAGAGGGCTCCGAGACAGCCCAAGAGGGCACAAGCACGGCCCACGAGGCCCCCTAGACGGCCCGAGAGCCCCAAGACGGCCCCAAGAAGAGGCCCAGAGGGGGTACCCGACCGGCCTTTCGAGCCCTCCTCCCCAGGAGGCTCCCAAGGGGGCCCCAAGGGGCTTCGAAGGAGTCTCCAAGAGCACTCCCAAAATGGCCCCAAGAAGCCAAAATCACTTATCGTCCAGTAGGTTTCTGGTGCATTTCAGCGATTCTGCCTGTTCTGCTTCCCGAGGCCCCAAGACTGTCAGGGATGCCCAAATATCGTCCAAACCCCCAGACGACCCAAGACAGCCCCACACATATGAAAAAGGCCGCAAGAGGCCTCCAAGAGGGCTCGACACGCAGACATCTAGCTCGAACGCGCCCAAGTCTGCCTCCAGATGGCCCAGCAGGCTGTCAACGCGGCCCAAGGGGCCCCCAAGAGCATTCCCCAAAAAGGGCACCAAGAAACCATAATCCTTTTTTGTTGTCTTAAGGTTTCTGGCACATTTTAACGATTCTGCCTGTTCCGCTTCCCGACGCCCCAAGGCGGTCAGGGATGCCCACATATTGTCCTAACCGGCTCCCACGAGGGCGCCGAGACGGCTTAGGGCCGCCCCCAGACGGCCCAAGACAGCCCGAACACGCACGAAAAGGGCCGCAAGAGGCCCCCAAGAGGGTTCGAAACGCGGGCAGATGGTTCGAACGCGCCCAAGATGGCTTCCAGATGGCCCAAAAGGCTTCCAACTCGGCCCAAGTGGTCTCCAAGAGCGTTCCTCCAAGGGCCCCAAGAAGCCGATATCATTGACGCTCATGAGGTTTATACATATAACGGCGCACCGGGTCCGGGGACCCGGGACCGGGACCTCGACCACAAATGTGGGCCCCGGGGGGCCCAGAGGCTCGTCGGGGCTTGCCGGAGGCCTCCCCGGTCAGACAAGACGGCCCCAGAAGCGCCCAAGACGGCCCAAGAAACTTCCAAGAGGCCTCCAGGAGGGCTCCGAGATGTTGAAGATGGCCTCCAGACGTCCAAGGACGCCCCCAAGAGGCCCCAATAAGCTTCCAACATGCGTCCCAAGAGGGCCCCTAGACGCAAAAATTTGCCCATTCCCTTAGTAAAACGTACATTTTCAACAAAGTTGTCTTTTGGGCTTTCCGACGTTACAGGACGGCCCAAGAGGCGCCCAAGACCGCCCCAAGACGGCCCAAGAAGCTTCCAAGAGGGCCCCAGGACAGCCCAAGAGGGCCCCAAGACGGCCCAAGAGGCGCCCAAGATGGCCCAAGAGGGCCCCAAGACGGGCCCAAGAGGGGGCCCAGAGGGGGACCACGAACCGCAAGCTCGAGCCTTCCGCCCCAAGAGGCCGCCAGGAGACCCCCAGGAGGCCCCTCAAGAGGCCCCAGGAGACCCCCAAGAGGCCCAAAGGAGGCCCCGAGAAGCCCCAAATCGGCCCCCACAATGCTTCGAACCTGCTTCAGGAGGCCCCCGACAGGTTCAGAGGCTCCCAAGAAGCTACGTCAAACTCCCAGCGAGCGGCCGGACGAGGCCCCCCAAAAAATCCCAAGAGGGTTCCAGTATTTGTATCCTTCAGCGCTCTCTGGCCTTCTTCCCCCTGCCCCCTTCCCTGCGACTTTCGTTGACTCAAGCTCGCCTCCTCTCCATTTCCTCTCTCTGCCTCTCTCTCTCTCTGTCTTCTTCTCTCTCTCTCTCTCTCCATCTCTCTCTCTCTCTCTCCTTCGCTCTCTGTCTGTCTGTCTCTCTCTCTCCCTCTCTTTCTCTCTCTTTCTCTTTCTTCCTTTCAGATTCCGTGTCCTTGCGACCTTCTGCAGTCCCCGACGTCGCCACGGCTGGATCCGCTCGAGCGTGTCTTGTGATGTGCGGCGGTGCGAAGCCCGTCCCACTGATCAAGGCACAGGTACGAAATCATGGGTCCATCATTTCTTGCCTTCCCATGTGCGCTTTCCCAATCGATTCCTGGGCCCGAGGTCGCAAAAATTACGACGTCGGAGGTCTGGGGAGGCGGGAAACACGACCTGGACCTCCGACGTCTTGGAAAAATCACGACGGCGGTTTCGGTCAATTTTCGGCCTCCGGGGCCCCTCGCAGGGTCCCGGGACCGTCA